GAGAGGCCAGAGCTGCCTGGAGGGGAGGGTGCTGTCTCAGAGTGTGTGTGGGAGGAACAGAGTGCTCCTCTCAGGGCGGGGAGGGAGCGACCTGGGGAGGCCGCGGCTTCCCCCAGCCTGGGGCGGGGGAACGCTAGAGAGTTTCGGGTCTGCTCCAGGCTGGTGGGCATGAGAGAAGTCGTGTTTGCCTTGGGTTGGTTGTTTGGAGTTGGAAGGAGCAGGATTTGCCCCGGGCTGGGGTGGGGAGAGGCAGTGCTTCCCCGGAGTAGAGGCTATCTGGGCAGGAGAGGCGCAGGTGCAGGGGGCTGAGGATGTGTTTCTTCCTAAGATAGAAGAGGGAGAAGCCAGTGACTGCTGTGGGGCACAGGAGCTTCCTCAGGCTTGGTGCTGAGACAGTGTTCACTCTGGGAAGGAGTGGGTCAGGGTTTGCTCTGCCTTTCTGAACCATGTTCCTCTGCCCACAGCAGCAGCACGAGGACCTGTCCGCTAAGAAGCTGCGGCTGACCAAGCCCAGCAAGTCAGCAGCGCTCCATGTTGACCTGTGCAAAGCCACCTCGCCTGCAGATGCCTTGCAGTACCTGCTCCAGTTTGCCAGGAAGCCCGTGGAAGTGGAGAGTGTGGAAGGGGTTGTCAGGATCCTGCTGGAGCATTATTACAAGGTGGTGAAGCTGGGAGCCAAGCGTGCTTCCAGAATTCTCCTTCTGGTCTTGTTTTCTTGGGGTTGGATGTGGAATAGAGAGTCCCAGGCTCCTCCTGGTCCTGGCTCAGATGCCAACAGCCTGGGCAACTGTAGTTGTGACTGTAGTCCTTTACCTGAGTGATTCCTGATCATGTTACTTAGTTCCTTTGCTGATGGTTTCAGGAGCCTGTGACAGGGCTGTGACTGTGTTATCCCTGCAGACGGCCTGCGTGATTAGCCTTTAATTAGCTTAGCAAGGGACAAAAGACATGGCAAGAAGTTTTCCAGGGAACCCAGCTGTCCAAAGCTGGCTCAACTTTATCTGAATCCTTTCTGACTGATGTTTCCTTACCTTGCTCTTTATTTCCTCTAGCAGTAGAGAAACTTCTTAGCTGCTGCTTATGCTGTGAACAAAGCAGTTTTAAAATGATGCTTCTGAAAAACTTTTCAACAAAAAAATTGTAATGGCAGAATAACAAATAAATAACAGAAGTGGTATATGCTTTGTAGTATCCAGATATTGATCCTTCACTTGATAAAGCAAAACTTTATTGCATCAGCCAAAGCTGTACTGTAGGCTTAAATACTTGTCATAAATGTCCTTGTGTTATTCTGTCTTTTTACAATTGAGTCTATTTTGCTTTGAATTTACACTAAAGCTCTAAGCTGTGTTTTATCTATTTTTGTACTTTACCTGCTTTGGCTTGTGTGTTGAGATTGGTTTACATTTTTTTGATGGGAACTTATTTTTGTCATTGGACTGGTCCCCATTCAAAAGAGTGTACAGCTTAAGGAACCTAATCTTATTTCTTCTTCTATGAAAAAAACTGTGGTACCACATCAAATAATACAGGTTATTTATGTTTGGAGTTTGGTTTGTAGCCTATATTAGAAGAGAGACTCTTAAATCTACAGATGAGGTCACATTTTCAGTGCACAGCCTATTACAGAAACCAGCTTTTAAAAAACATAGCAGTCCTGTAGTTGACATTATTTTACTTAAGGACAAGATTTTCTGAAGTATCTCCAGAAAACTTGCACTCAAACTGATCTTTCAGAAACCTAACCCTGAAAGCTGCTTTCCGATTTCAACCATGGTGGAAGTTTTGTGATGATGTATTTGTTTGTAGTGTCATTGTTTCCTTTAAGATGGTGTTGCAGCCTCCTGCTCCTTTATCCTTTTATATTATGGTAGGACAGTCCCTAAACAGTTCTGGAATGGATCAGAAAAATAATCTGACTTTTCCTTTTTTTCTCTGTTTTCCCACCCATCATTCTCATGGCCTGCTGACGGTTGAATTGGCACAGCTGAGCAGGGGGCACGTTGCGATGTGTGGGGGAAAGCCAGGGGGACAGGATACTGTCAGGATACGGTGTGTCCTCGCCCGAGGCGATCCTGAAAGTCCCTTCCCGATTCCCGAGGGTCGTTGGGACGAGGGGTTAGAGGCACCTTCGCTTACTGATGTTTTGGTCGTGGAGTCAGTGATCAGACCTGTAAACTAAAAGAATATGTTTCTCTCATTTCCTGCTCATGAACAATTAGAAGGAGGGAGAAAATTCCCTCTGGGATGGAAGGCTGCTCGTAACTTGGTAATGAAAACATTGCAGACATTATTCGTAAGGCTTTTAAAAGTGCCTTTATAACTGTCCTTTTTGAAATCACTGATTTCATCTGCACTTGTGGGGAGGATTGTCTTTTTAATGAAAGAATGTGAGTAATGCTGAGTAAACACTAAATATATCATACTGTGGAAATCCGTGCATCCTACTACTGCTTTAATTAGTCCAGTGGCAGGAACTGTTGTTCAAACACGTAATTTCAGCCCTGAAAAGAGAAAATGCTTCTCAGCTCAGTTAAGACATTACTCCCATGAGTATCGCAGTTGTCACTAGGGGGATGGTGACTTTGGAGTCTTTCCTAAACACTGTTGAAAGACTTAAAAGTTGTAACTGTAATATTTCTGCACCTGATGAAATATGAAATATTTGTAATTGTAATATTTCTGCGCTTTTGCATTCAGCGTTGCACAGTTGCTTGGTAAGATCTAAGTATGAAATCCAGACTTCTTTTTGTCTTTCTATGCTGTATTGAATATCCTTGGCAATACGGTGAAAGAGGGAGCTTACAGTTACGAACAGAAGTCTTGTGTGTATGAGTCTGTAGAAGATTCAAAATAATAGCTCTTTAAAATGCATGAACTTTTAAAATGAATTTAAAATGCGTACTAATTTGTGAGCCTTCTTTACATAGTTACCACCTTTTGCTCTTGCTTAAATGAGCAGATATGTTTTGCTGTGGTTTTTTGTTACCTTGGTGTGTTGGGTTTCTTTCTTATTTTTGCTATCAGATTGGCAGGATTCCTCCCCACCGTTAAGAGAAACTGTTGTTTTCAGTAGCCCACAGCCCCTGCTGCTCAGCAGAGGTCGAGACTGTCAGTCTTGGTTCATGTTCTAAAATTCTCACGTTTGTTCATTAAAAACTTGCAAAGATGTTAACATTATCAACAGTGAATTTTCTGGCATTTTGAAAACCTAATTATTTAAACTTTAAATTTTCAAACAATATGAAGGTAATTTTGAGGAATTATGAGTAAATAACCATTTTGAAATGTACTGGAAGCTGCCACATAAACATTCTAGTATGGTTAATTTTCTGTGGGGTGTGCTGTGGATGTATGGAGCAGGAAATAGCCTGACAGTAAAATTCAGACCCTTGTGCTGGATTATGTAAGGGTATATATACGCTCTTCAAACTGGAAAATGAATGAAGATGTCTGCCGTTTCTTTCCAGGAGAGCGATGCCTCCGTAAGATTGAAGATTGCTTCCTTGCTGGGCTTGTTATCGAAGACTGCAGGATTTTCCCCAGACTGCATTATGGATGATGCCATTAACACGCTTCAAAATGAGAGTAAGTCTCGCTTTTCAGGTGGTGCTTGAGATCAAGGCAGAATCACGGTGTCTTTTAAGCATTTAGGACAGTGGTAAGGCCTTTACATCTAAGTGTATAATTGAGAGTTGTTGCTCAGAATATTTATTTTCTGCTTTTGTGAATGATGACAGACAATACCATGTTCTGAGGCAGAGAAAAATGTTTCTGCTGTATACCTTTGTTTTAAGGGAGTGCAGAGTTTGCTTTTGCATCTCAGTGTGAGAGCTGTTGCTTCTGAAGTGTTCTGTTTTAGAGGACAGTCTTGCTTAAAGTGGGATCTTGTTTGAAGAGGAGGGTTTTTTTCTTTCTGTGCTGCTGGCCAGCTCATCAGGCCTAATGTAAGAAGACAGTAGTTTATTAGCATTGGGTTTGTAATAGACAGTAAAATATAGGCTGTCCTGTTTATGGGTTTATTAAAGTCCGTTTTTATTTTCTATGTTATATTCACAGTTTGTATGTGCTTTACTTGATGCAGTTTAATTTTATTTTGCTGTCATTTATAGAATCATAGAATGATTTGGGTTGGAAGGGACCTTTAAGCATCTTTCACTGTATCAGATTGCCCAAAGCCCCATCCAACCTGGCCTTGAACACTTCCAGGGAGCCAGGGGCAGCCACAGCTTCTCTGGGCAACCTGTGCCAGGGCCTCAGCACCCTCACAGTCAAGAATTTCTTCCTTATCTAAACCTGCCCTCTTTCAGTTTAAAACCATTGCCCCTTCTCCTGTCACTATGGGCCTTGATAAAAAAATCTCTTTGTGTCTTTCTTAGAAACTCCCTTTATATATTGAAATGGTGCTTTAAGGTCTCCCTGCAGCCTTCTCTTCTCCAGGCTGAACAAGCCCAACTCTCTCAGCCTGTCTCCATAGCAGAGGTGCTCCAGCCCTTGGATCATCTCCGTGGCTTCCTCTGGACTTGCTCCAACAGCTCCATGTCCTTGTTGTGGTGGGGACCCCAGAGCTGGACGCAGCACTGCAGGGGGGTCTCACGAGAGTGGAGTAAAGGGTCAGAATCCCCTCCCTTGACTTGCTGGTCACGCTGCTTTTGATGAAGCCCAGGACATGGTTGGCTTTCTGGGCTGCAAGTGCACATTGGCAGCTCTTGTCTGATGTTTCATCCCCCAACACACCCAAGTCCTTCTCCTCAGGGCTGCTCTCAATCCCTTCATTCCCCAGCTTCTATTGATACTGGAGATTGCCCCGACCCATGTGCAGGACCTTGCACTTGACCTTGTTGAACTTCATGAGGTTTGTGTGGCCCCGCTCCTGAAGCCTGTCCAGCTTTCTCTGTGTGGCATCGTGTACTTCCAGTGTGTCAGTCACACCACTCAGCTTGGTGTCATCCACAGATTTGCTGAATAGGCACTCAGTCCCACTGTCCATGTCATGGATGATGATATTAAATAGTGTTGGTCCCAGTACAGACCCTTGAGGGACACCCCTTGCTACTGGTTTCCACTTGGACACTGAACCATTGAGTAACTCATTGGACACGGCCATCCAGCTAATTCCTTATCTATCTAAGGGTCCATCTGTTAAACCTGTATCTGCCCGATTTAGAAGAAAGAATGTTGTGGTGGTCCAGGTGAACAGTAGACCAAATGTGAGTGAGCAGTGAAGGCTTGCTGCGTGCCAGGCTGTATCAAAAGGAGCGTGGCCAACAGATTAAGGGAGGGGATTATTCCTCTTTCCTCAGCACTGGTTGGGCCACATCTGGAATACTGCATCCAGTTTTAGGCTTCCCAGTGCCAGATAAGCACTGGTAAGGTTGAGTGAGTTCTGCAGATTGCCACCGAGGTGTTTGGGAGCTGTGTGCAGGGAGAAGCTGAGGGAACTGGGCTTGTTCTTTGAAAGGAGAAGGCTTCAGGAGGACCTTCCAACCTGAATGAGTCTGTCATTCTGTAGCTGTTGAGGAGCTCAGTAAAGAGGTACGTAGCTTTTCACTGTTTTGTTTTTCAGAGTCTCATCAAGTCCTCGCTCAGCTGCTGGACACGCTGTTGGTGATCGGCACAAAGCTCACGGAGAATCCGTCTGTCAGGATGAGACTCGTAGAGGTAGCCTGCAAGGTGAGGTGGCCTCCCTGAGGCAGGAAACTTTTATCACTGCCACAGGAAAAATCTGCAGTCAGTGTTTAAATTATTTTAATTTTTCTTAACAAACTGTTACAATACTAACATTTTTTAACTGCTAGGAATCTGAGTATGATGAGTTGTTGTGAAGGGGTGAAAGACCAATAAGAATCCAGTTACCTCTGTTCTTTTCCATTCCACAGCATCTGACAGATTCTTCCCATGGTGTAAGAAATAAGTGTCTTCAGTTAATCGGCTGTCTTGGACCAGTGGAGAAAGGTGTTGCAAAAGAAGTTGAAAGCCAGGCTGCCAAAGATGTCCAGAAGATAATAGGAGATCACTTTAACGATCAGGACCCTCGTGTTAGGACCGCAGCTATAAAAGCCATGGTAAGTGTTGCTGGTACAGTGGAATAAATTGTTTGGGGTTATTTAAGGAAGCTGGTAAAGGATTGCAAACTAATCCAGAGAGGTTTGGATTAGAGATTATTTAATTAACTTAGTAAAGTCTATTTAGCATATCAAAATACCTGGAAAAATAAGCTAGGACTTGAAATATGAGAGTAATGCGAGATCTCAGAGGGTGTTTTAGTGATCAGTAACAATTTCTGTTCAGCTATAGCTGAAGAAGCTTTTTAATTTATTGACTTTTTTGAGCATATGTAGGCTCTTACTTTTAGTGAGAAACTTGTATTTCTCGATTCAGCATTGGTTACCACAATTACGATAAGCCACTAGTACTCCAGCATGCCACGGAAAGCTGCTTATGACAGGAATCACAGAATTGTTTTGGTGGGAAAAGACCTTTAAGATCATTAAGTCCAACCACTAAGGTCAGAAACCTGTGTGATAAGTCCAGAAAGAAGTTTGTTTGTTTGTTTTTAAACAACACTTATGTTTTGCCCCATGGTCATGTTCGTTAGCATTCTGTAACTGGTTATGAGGTTAACTGGTTAGAGGTTAACTGGTTTTCATGTGGGCTGGAGCGTGGGGACCCTTCAGAAGTTTTTGTCTTTGCAGAAATGCAAGCAAAGACCATGTGCTTGAGAATTTTGCTTGTGAGTATATAGAAGTTCCTCTGTTACCCGTAAAGTTTATAACAATATCCCATCTAACCTGATGGTGAACAAAGGTATTTGAATTAATGATATTAAACTCCAAAGAAAGAAGCAGGATGCATTTGAGGAGATCAGATTACACTTGAATCTGTCTGGGATTTCCTTCTGCTGGAGGTTGCACTCATCCTTCTTTTTTGTTTTAATCTGGGGGTTTTGGTACAATTTTTTTTTTAAGTCGTTTGAGTGACATTTACAAATGGCATTTACACCAAATCCGTAGCAAGATTTATGACATTGAATTTATAATTACAGCACAAAATCCACTATCTTTCTGTCGTTTGAAGCATGGAAGAATCCTGAATGAATTCAGGGCCACTAACCACTTCTAGAGTTCTCCATCATGATTTTCCTTGCTACTGTGTGTGGGTCTTTGGGGCTTTTTTTTTTTTTTTCTCTCCTGGAGTTTTGTTGCTGGCATGTTTCATTTTGAAGAAGTGGATACAGAAAAGCAACTGTTTGCTTTCTTGTTCACAGTACTCAACCAGATATTATCCCTTTGTTTATAAAGTCACATTCATGATACTGCTTTATTCCAGATAGAAATAATGTTTAATAGGACAGTTTTTGCTATTCCTCTGGTTTGGTAATTGAAAAGGTTTACAGGGCATGAGAATTCATTGGCAGAGCTACTTCTGGGTTTCATGTTTCAGGAGTGGTAGCAAACTAATTATTTTGAAGATACCTCTGTCTGTGGTAATAGTGGTTGAATATGGCTAGCACTAAACAATCATTTGAAGGTTGAGGAGAATGGACAGACAGTGTATTTATATAAATTGTATTTTCCTAATCAAAGTATGAACGGCTCTGAAGTTTAAAAAAGTTATACTGAAGTGAAGAGTATTATTTGAAATACTTATGTTCAAGATAATGAAATATGTTAATTATAGCAGCAATCAAGAAATGCAAGCAGCTAAGTTTACTCAAAGCAGAAAAAACAGTGGTGAAAACAGTCTGTGTCACTTAAACCTGTAGTTATACTTTATTGTGGGTTTTTTTTTTCTTTTTCTGTAGCTGCAGCTTCATGAAAGAGGATTAAAATTACAGCAGGCTATTTACAGTCAGGTAAAACTTTGTATTAATTTATATTTATTTTGTACTTGTTTGCTATCTTTTTAGATTCTGTGGCAATGTGCTTTGAGAGGAGGCGGGCACTGAACAGAAGTGGAGTGTTTTGCGCTTAGGTTACCTTATAGTCCTTATTGCCCTATGGCAGTGGAAATAAAAATCTATTTTGCATCTCATTGTGCTTAAACACACTAAAACATATGCTTTGATTGGAATATATTGTTTATTGGGGGAGATAATCATGGGAAGGGCAAGGCATTATGTCATTATTACTGTCATCTGGCAGCCTCGAAGGCTTAAACCCCTGTTCATTGGAGAGTACACGAAGCCTGTGTTTGTTATGTCAATAAGGTTGTGCAGCTGAAGCCTTTATCAAGTTGCTTCTAGTACAGATTCACATTTCATGTTTCCTGCATAGTACAGGTAATTCTGGAGTTTTACAGCACGTGGCTGATTGACTTTATTGGGATTGGTCTACCTAATCAGACTTGGAAATACTAGACAGTAGAAGGGAAGACTGAATTTTATAATCTATCCTAACTGATTCATGGCAAGGACACTAATTGCACTGTGGGAAGTGAATGACAGCTCAGGTGGAGATGTTTCAGGTATATTGGGGTGTGAATCTTCTTTCAGGCCTGCAAGCTGTTGGCAGATGATTATGAGCAAGTGCGCAGTGCTGCAGTTCAGCTAATTTGGGTCCTCAGTCAACTTTACCCTGAAAGGTATGTGCTGTATGAAAAGTGACTCAAAGTATTGGCATAGCAGTCATCCTAATCCCCAGAGTTTTGTGCCAGTAAGTCTCAGGAACAGCTGTTAGTGTACAAATTGCTGATACCTGATAATGCACTGATCCAGATGAAGTTTTGGTTCTTGATGTTTGTTGCAAATCCATAGGAATTCAGCATAGTTGTTTCTTGCTTGATGCCATCCAGCATGATGTAAGATCAGCATACTGATTTACGTTTCTCTACGTTAGCATCGTCCCGATTCCTTCTTCTAATGAAGAAATTCGCTTGGTTGATGATGCATTTGGAAAAATTTGTCATATGGTTAGCGATGGTTCCTGGGTTGTTAGAGTACAAGCTGCTAAGTTATTGGTAAGTTGCATTCTTTTCTCTATCTGAAAATAGTTCATTTTATGTTATTTTACTTTTCACATATACTTGAAATGGGAGGATGTTTAAAAACTGTATAGGTAACTTTCCACCAAAATTCTGAGAAGAAAGAAATGAGAGAGGTTGAGGAAACCCAAAAGTTTCTCAGCTGAACTCTGCAGTGATTCTTTCCTTGAGACTAGAGGGTTGGGTATCCAAGAAAAAAAACCAACTACTTGTGGTAATTCCCTCCCCTTACTTCTCCAGCACAGGACATGTAAACCAACAGAACTCAAGAAAGACCGTATTAACCTCAGTGGGCAAAAAAAGATGTTCTGATCGTCTTAAGTAAACTTCTTTAGATTCTGACATGTGGTAGTGTCAAGTGTTGTATAAAGCTATTAGAATGAGTGGATAAGATTGGACGCTGTGTTAGGATACATCAGGACATTATATGGTGTAATTTAGAATAATCCTGTTTCTTCCTTTTGATTTTTTTTCCTTTTTTTTTTCTTTAGGGTTCTATGCAACAAGTTAGCTCCCATTTCTTAGAGCAGACCCTTGACAAGAAGCTCATGTCAGATCTGAGGGTATGTAAATGTTTGGGTTTGTTTTTACTGTGTGTAGTGCACTAAAATTGCACAACAGGTATTTTAATGTTGGTGTGTTTGGTTACCGTGTCCTTGCCTCAGGGCTGCTGAGAGTTAATTGCTGATGACAAGTTTTCTTTTAGATTAAAGTCAATGAAGCAATTGCTAGTTTTAGATTTCATTAGTCGAGCATGTAATAAATAGCTCTAGGCTATGCAGGTTTTGCAGATGAGAGGTAAACGTTTGTGTTCTTCTGACAGTCTTTTGGCTAAAAGCTTTATTTATTGTGTATGGAAAGAATGCATCCTAGTTTTAGGAGCAAGCTTATGGAAACATCCTGCAAGATCCGACCAGTAGAGCTAGACATTTCAAGACATATGAGTAGCTAGAGGCCGGGATTCCTGAGCCCTACAAGCAAAACTTTTCAGTAAAATTCCTTTCTTAAGCAACTCGCTCGATGTATTATGTTCAGTTTTTCTGTCTACGAAAGGATGATGAAGCTAAAGCTGCTAGTTTTTGTGGGCTGCATTGTAAAGTCCATTAAAGAAAGTGCCGCACAGCTTTCTTTGCAGTGGCGGGGGGAAAGGAGATGGATTAGCATGCATGCTGAATGAATATCACATTTTACACATTGCTGAATGCTGTAAAGTATCAACAGTCCTTAAAGTATTTAATTGCAGTTTAACAAGTTGAACTGCAAAGTGACAGCATCTGTTTTTGCAGATCAGTTATTGGGTAGTTAACTAGACAAGCCTTTGCTCTGACCCAGTTCAGCTGTTCTTATAATGGATGTTTAAGATTAAATTAAAATGTATTAATTATTATCTTTTCCCAACATCAAAAGTACAAAGAGTTACTGGCAATTAGAAATATTCATAGAAGAGAAGGTATTATTTGCTTTTCTCACCATTTGCATGTGTCTGTCAATGTCTAAGCCTCTAGCTAGATCTATTTTCAAATCCAGTAAAGCCATTTAATATTTTGTTTGGTCATATTTAAAGTTTACCATGTTTTAACTGAAAAAACTTGTTTGGACAGAGGAAGCGCACAGCGCATGAACGAGCCAAAGAACTCTACAGCTCTGGGGAGTTTTCAAGTGGCAGAAAGTGGGGAGATGATGCTCCCAAAGAAGAAATTGATACAGGTGCTGTAAACTTGATTGAATCAGGAGCTTGTGGGGCCTTTGTTCATGGCCTGGAAGATGAGATGTACGGTAAGTGTTAACTTATTGTGGAACGACTTAAAGGAGATGTGTGCTGCCTAATACGCTTCGGTTTTGGGGATTTTTTTGGTCAAAATAGATCACTTGGTTACTGTGTGTGTTTGTGGTTTGTTTTTTTTAACAAATTGTGGACTTCAGGGTGCTGGGTTTTTATTCCATGGTGATCTCTGATATGGCAGTTTTTTCAAAGATGTTACATTGTTGCACAGAATTTTCAATAGAAATGTTTCATTGAGTAGCCAAAACCAAATAGCTTCCTATAAACAGTAAAGTTTTAGTAAAATATCTGATAAGAAGTTGTTGCTTACGTTATGCAGATACCCACTGGGAATATTTTTTTTAATTGACTTAAATTTAACAGTTACATGTGGCTCTAAATTGGCAACATTAGTTGCTGCTGTTTAAAATTGGTGTTTTCTCTGCTGGAATGAAAGTTGAAATTTAGAGAACTTGTTTAAAACAAAGCACTGCAAGGAACTTGTGCCCGTGGAGTCCAGTAATCACTCATTTTGTAAACATAGCAGCTTCCATCCTAACACAGGTTAGAAATAGTGGAGACAAATCCATATTGTGAGCAGCCCTGAGGAGAAGGACTTGAGTGTGTTGGGGGATGAGAAGCTCAGCATGAGCCGGCAGTGTGCGCTTGCAGCCCAGAAAGCCAACCGTGTCCTGGGCTGCATCACCAGCAGCGTGACCAGCAGGTCGAGGGAGGGGATTCTGCCCCTCTACTCTGCTCTCATGAGACCCCCCCCCGCAGTACTGCGTCCAGCTCTGGAGGTGCCCGGGACAGGAAGGACATGGAGCTGTTGGAGCGAGTGCAGAGGAGGCCACAGAGATGATGCGAGGGCTGGAGCACCTCTGCTCTGGAGACAGGCTGAGAGAGTTGGGCTTGTTCAGCCTGGAGAAGAGAAGGCTGCGGGGAGACCTTAGAGCCCCTTCCAGTCCCTTCAGGGGCTCCAGGAAAGCTGGAGAGGGACTGGTGACAAGGGCAGGGAGTGACAGGCCAAGGGGAATGGCCTGAAGCTGCGGGAGGGGAGATGGAGATGAGATGGGAGGCAGAAATCCTTCCCTGTGAGGGTGCTGAGGCCCTAGCAC